ACATTCATTTACAAATTTACATTAATCAAAATGCTTTGAGAATATTTATTAAAATATATATTAAAATATTTGTTTTGATTCCCAGTTTGGCTTTTATAAGACCGATTTACAATATAATACATAAAAGATAAAATCAGCTCAAAAACATTATGCATGTACTGCAGGCTTTACATTTTTACAATAAATGTGACACAAATACACAAACTGGTATGCAAATGAGCTCCAGTGGGGAAAAAAACTGGCACTTCTGACTGATTTTCACATTGAAGAAAACACTGATCATAATGCATGGATTTTAACAAATAAAATAAAGTAATACATTAAGAGGAACTTGTTTACCAGCACATGAATCACCACTGCTATGTGACAGTTTACTAAGAGGTTGTTTGTTTCGCTGTATTTTTTAAAGTGGCACAGCATAGTTAATAAGATACTGTAATGTTTTCGCTTTTGATGTACTAATGGCTGTGACTTCTGGTAATAGCTCATATCTGTTTACAAAAGACAGTTTTTTAGAAAGGCATTTTATGTCAATCCACTCAGTTAATATTTTATTGTTTTGGTACTTTAATATGACTTTTTACACTGTTAAACTCATCAAAGTGGATCAGGTGGCCCGTTGCCAATTTCTGTGGTGATTCACAACAACTTTGTCCAATTAGAGACTGGTGAGTCAAGCAAATTGTACTTACAAACCTCACAGGAAAGCTGAACAGAGGTTGAAAATACTTGTAGAAATGTTTTGCATGTGGCTTGCATACGACTGCTATGGGTTGTTCTTTAAATACAAACATCCACATCGGGAAGGCCACAACACTGACAACATTTGGAGAGAAATATGGTGGCGTTTGCTACATTGCCCCAGAATCCTTCAAATGAGACGGTCCCGTTGTTTATGGTGCTGCAAAAAAATTAATTTTACATGTAAATAAAAATAACGAGATATCACAAAGACATACTTAATAGCCTGAGTGCATATCTGATTTCTTCCAATTAGTTTAGCCACCCGCAAGCTTCTTTTTAATGAAAGTGTAAATGCATACCTTTGAAAGAGCTCTTGACAGCATTCTGCAACGTCTGAAAGTGTGGCATTGAAGGGTGATCCGTTAAAAACCTCCACGCAGTCCAATGGAGGAACAAAGAGGATGCCTGAAAAGTCAGAGTGAGAGCTGCTCTGTAAAAACTGCACAGAAAGATGCTGTGGAGATACACTGGAAACAAAACAAACTAACAGAACCTTACCTGCAATGCAAGCATTGATGAGAGATACACATGTCCCGGTGATCATGGCTCTAAACACCAGAGATGAGATGTCATTTCTTCTTAATGGGCATATAGATGCTTGGAGAAAAGAAAACACACAGTGTTAGAGAATCCATTACTGAGAGACCACATTCTGGATCAAGGCAAAAATGTGACAATGATATGATTTAATACTCACAAAGACCTCCAATCACAATGCCCAGTGAGCTGAAATTGGCAAACCCACAAAGAGCATAAGTGGTGATGATTTCTGATCGGACCTGAAACAAGAAAAAAAAAAGATTTCCAGCTCACATTCAAACTGACAAAATTTAAAATATATTCAGAACTATAAACATATACTCACAGATATCCACTGTCTTTCATCGCCAATAACCTCAGCAAGTCCGTTGAGCCTGTTTTGCTTCAATTTAGATAATTCCTCATACGCCACAAACTCATTGAGGAAGAGCTTTGTCCCAATTAGCTTAGCCACAACGAAACTCTCGTCGTATGTCACTCCCATCATAAAGGCCACGGGCATAAACACGTAAGAGCAAATTAACTACAAAGACAAGATAAGGTTATTTGAAATTTGTTAGACTGATATCTTAAATTCTCAGAAAAAGGAAAGCACAGTAAATCAGAATGTCAAGCAAAGTTTGTGTGCATAACGGACTAATGTTTCCCTAAGATAAAACACATGGAAATAAGCAGACAACTTTAACTTTATGGTTTCTTTCTCATATTCACCCCACCCAGCAAACACAAGCCAGAGATAGTTTATCTTTGTTGGGTGGGGTCAGAAACATTAATCACTATTATAGGAAGTTTATGCTGTAAATTCTTAACTTATCTAAATACATTTGTCAGAATAAGTAGTTGGGTATTTATTTTATAATGTCATAATACAAGTCAAAGTATATTAAAATACTACACGTCATACAGTTACGATACAATTATTTAAATGATCAAATACAAGTATTTATTATTAGATAACGTTACTTAGCTTAATTTTCATTATAATGTTATAATATAAAAATATAATTCTAAAATCTAAGGAGTTTACAAAATGATCAAGATACCACATTAACTTTCTGTTGCTAAAACATACCTGAAATGTGACATCAGGATATCCCACCATTCCTCCAAGCCATTTCAAAGCTGAATTTATGAATCCGAGGATAGCAAGAAAGGCTATAAGATTTGCTGCGATGTTAGCAACAAGCCCTATTGATGCAGATGCTCCACTGCTGACTGCTTCCAAAATGTTCTGCTCATCACTGAAATGTTAAAAATGAATAAATGTAGGCAAGATATTCTGAACCAAACACACACAAAAGAAAAGACAACATTATGAGAAGAAATTCAATTGTGTACACACCCAGAAGCCACTTTGATGTTCTGCTTTGATTTAAAGCAACTCTCCTCTGTTTCTGGGTAAGAAAGCTTAGAGATTGCCAGAGCGCACGGAGCAGCCATCACAGAGGCTGATATCAAGGAAGATGCATCAATCTGTGAAACACAATTAAATAACATGTAACTGATTTGGGTAATTACAGCAGTCTCTACCAGCTAGCGTCTTTTCCTATATAAATCTGGGTCATGATGCTTGTCAGCAGAACTACTGAAAACTTTAAATTACTCTGTAGTCTCAGAAACCTCAAAGGCTGTTTTTCTCTCAGCTCTAAGACCAAAGTGGAATGAGTTAAATCTGTATTAGGTATTCAGGTGTATTTCTAAGTATGTGTTCAGTTTTGGGCCCATTGTTTTCCTTTTTCTTTTTAACACTGCCATGAGGGTTTTTACTGTTTCTTTATATAAAATTGTTTGCAACTAACTTCATAGCCTCAGTCCAGACTAATCAGCTGCCTTATCACAGTTTGTGTTCCTACAGTAACTGAGAAACAGTGCTGTGCTTGTTCCCTCTCAGGAGGGAAAACAACAAAGGTCCTTGAGCCAGAAATTAGTACTGGCTATGCCCCTCACTGCTTTTTTAAAATGTTGTTTTGCACTCAGAGCTTAAATTGCTTTTGCTTTTTTAACTTACAGTTGAATCTTTGTCTTTTTTTGTGCACGTTACGTTTTTATTGTATACTTCTATATGGGATAAGATACATTATGCTAGTATGAAAATAGGTTTATATTAAAAGTTTTATCTCACCCCAAATGAGATGAATGCCCCCATAACACTGCCCGCAATTGTGGCAAATCCACCAGTCATAACAGCATGGATCTCTGATTTGGTCATATCCTTCAAATAGGGGCGGATCAGCAGCGGTGCTTCTGTCTAATGTACAAAAAACATTAATTTTTTTCTGCACTTATTCACAGGTACATGCACAAAAGTTCAAACAATGATGTTCGTAAAATAGTGTTGAATAAAATGTTGAAACAAGAAGTACCTGCCCAACAAATATATTGCCTGCCACACTCAAGGTCTCTGTGGAAGACGTTCCCATTGTTATCTGCATAACCCACGAGATCTGCATGGACAAAAATCGTGGCCCTTAGTAGCAGATTATTACTACATAAGCAATAGGAGCACAGAAGCATTGAAGATGCTGCGAGCAGTGTATTTTACCTTCAAAATGAGCCACTGCATAATCCCCAAGTAGTAAAGGACCGACATCACGCTGCTAAAGAAAATAACAATGGGCAAAGCCTGAGGGAAAATCATAAAACTCGGGTTAGCAATGCTCAAGTTAAATAATTTATAATCATGGTTGAGGGTCCATTCATTTACTTACTTGAAAGGCAAAAATGTTTCCAATCAGATCGCCAAAAACGAACGATGAACCTTCTTTGGTGTAGTCGAGAAATATCTGAAATTACAATTGTAAAAATGGAAACTCAGGATAAGATTTCATATATTATTCATTTGCTTAGTAAATGAATTCATGACATTTCTGATGCACATACCAATACATTTTATTAAGGTAAATAAAGTTGCCAATTAGTAGAGATAATAAGCTGTCAAACACACTGTATATTAATTAGCAAGCCACGTGCGTGTACACACTCGACCCTTGGAGGACCAAAGAGTAAAGGTGAATACTGTAATAAAGCAGGTCTAAAGATAAGCATGTGTGGTAAATAAAAGAACATGAGTCCACACTGTTGTGTCATACAAGTAACATCTACAATTTAAATGGAAGGTAAATGGATGATAAAAGAACTGAATGAGTGTTAATGTTACTTGGAAGTGTTATGCTGAATAGTTGTGGTGTCTAAATTATAATTTGATTGACAATGAAATGCTCATTCTCATATAATACCTGCACTTGTTTTCCAAGCCAGTCGAAAGCTATAAATCCAGGCTCCGTTCGTATAATAAAAAGGCCAAGGCAGAACTGTATCCCGAGACCCCAAAACACAGGCCTCCATGATACCTAAAACAAAAAAAAGAAATGCTTTGGCCATGAGATACATAAAGCAGTCTCCATAAAAGTCAGAATTATTCCATGCAAGCAACTCAACTAAATTGTAAGATGATAGGGGCACAAGGACAGAGATAATCTGAGATACGATGCCCAAAAATGTTTCGAAAGAGATGTCATCACAGTAAAGGCTGTGACTCAGTGGAAAACTAACCATTGTCCTGTGTGCTGAGAAGAGGAATATAAGCACGATGAACACGCAAACTCCGCCAAATGAGATAAGCTGGGTAGGACGCTTGCTTGTGTCTAAAGCGAGCCACACCACGAGCAAGACCACAACCACCAAAATGAAAACCCTGGAAAACACATTAAAGCCACACATCATGACTTAATAGTCACAAGGAGTTTCTTCACAAAGAGTCTGTTCTTTCACCAACTTTAAATTCACTCACCATTTTATCCATTTCAAGTTTGATTTAAACCATCTGACGGCGGGCTTGAAAAAGCGACTGATGCTTTTCCCCTTGTACTTCTTCAAAAGTTCCAGTGATACAGCAGCAACAGCCAAACAGGTCAGGACTACAAGGGCAGTGGCCCTCTGGAAATCCAGTACACATGCCGCAATGAAGTACGCCACATAACCTACAGAAGAGAAAAGCAATTCATCATGATCACTGTCTATACTGGATTTGGTTTACTCAAAGAAAAGTCACAAACTTTGCCTGCGTAAAGGATACCATGCAGAACCCTGCTGTATATATCTATATACCATTGTAGATACCTATATACTATTCATAATACTGTCATTTCCCATGCATATTGCATATTGCATGTAGAGCAGTAGTAATCAATCCCTTATTCATTCCATATTGTATTCCAACATCTTTGCACTATGCACCACTGTATATATGAATATAAATGTGCTGTACAGGTTGCTATTGTATGTTTGTTTATTTGGGTAAATAGAGTGAGAGCAAAAAAAAAAAGAAAATGAAGCCCCATTCTTTGCAAATCTACACATACTTGGTCAATAAAGCTGATTCGGATTCTGATGCATATCTGCTGAATAAACTGATGTTTCATAAATTATTACCTGCTCCGAGTACACCCAGGACAATGTATTTGAAGAGTTTTGAATGAGCCTTGATGTAATTCTCTGTGGCATTAATTGGTCTGGAAACTTTGCTGAAGTAGAGAAATAAAATCAAAAATAGTATATACATTGGGTGAATGTGCAGGACTTGTCACAGCTGTAGCCTTGTGTTCCAGTACTACGGTCAAATTCAGTGAACTCTTTAAAATTGTCTTCAACAGATGTTTTTAAAGGCAGAATGCACAAACAGGTGTTTATTTCAACAACTTTAGCAGCGGCAATTAGACTGAAAACACCTGAATTCAAAGATTAACCGGTGTGGCACAAATACTTTTGTCCACACAGGTTATTTTATACAACATTAGATAAATCTTAGCCATATACTGGATTAAAAGAACCTTATCCATTACAGATTTTGTTTTGTATGTGTGTAAAGTATACACACAAACTGTTGAGTAAATAAATACAGTACAGAGGCATAAGGCACATGCTATAAAAACTTACATTACAGCGCTCACAATAAAACTGTATGACTAGTTCTATGAACAGAAACAACTTGAACTGACACACCTTAGGTATGATCCCAGTTCCAGTCTTTTTTTAGGCTTTTTGGTCTCACTTTTTATGCTGCTGTAGTGATCAATGTCATCATCCTAGGAAAATACAGGTAATTTATTAAAAGCATGTTTCATTTGAAAGTAAAACACAGGACAACCTAACACATACCTGTATTTCATAAGCATGGTTGTCCACTCCGCTTCCATTGTTCTGGCTTATCTTTTCGAGGTGGACATCGTATTGGTCCGCTGAAAAACAGGATCATTATTCACTTCTATGCAGCTGCCTGTGGGAAAGCAGCTGCAACTTGAACAAGCAGGAGCAGGAACAATAAGTGACAAATCAAATCTCGATTTTTTGGGGGGGTTTTGCTTTTTGCTCTGTGAGATAAAGAAAGCTTAACATATGTCCACATAATCCTGAAATCTTATGTGAATCTATATGAAAATTGTTCCACAAAAATACAAATTCACAACTGCAGTACAAACAGCTTAATACAAGGAAAAGCAGAGTTAATGGCTTACTCATTCTGCGTCCTCCTAGACCCCGCTGTCAAATGCTGTGCTGTAAAATATACTGCAGGGAATACTCTGCCCTCAATGAAATATCTTATCATTAATTAACAGACACGTAGCGTACTGCTCCGATCTCTCAGGAAGTACACAACGGAGACGTTTGTATCATTCAGGAGGAATGATTTAATGTGCCTTATGAAGCAATACTTTTGAGACATGAAGCTGACCATGTTTTGCATTTCCTAAATTGCTGGAACGACAGAAGATGAGTCTTGAATTGACTCTTAAGAGGAATTTCCTAAGAAACACAGTAGGTCAGTCATGACTTTATCTTTAGGAGGTTGTTAGCACCTATAAGTCATAGAAAACTCATATTTGTAAAATTGGGTATCTAAAAATACATTTGTCACAAGTTTCTGAATAATCAACATGATTAATAACAGAAAGGAGCCCTTATATCACAAACAGAATAAGTCTATAGTTATATTACTGTAGCCTACCTTAAAAATAAAGCTCAATATGTGGCTGATAACCCTTCAAAAATAGCATAACTCTCAAAAAGTGAACACTTTACATTTGACTGCAACTATTTTATCCCTGAAAGGCTTTGATATAAGACACTTTTTGGTAAGTCAGCGTCAGCAGTGTCAAGTTAACTTGTATTAAATCTTTTTTCTTCCTTTTTTTTAATGATTATTTTGAAGAGTAAGCACACTGAGTACTTCAGAATCAGAGAGCCTGGAAATCAGCTGCAGCTGTTATCTGGTCAATTAAGTATATTGCAGCGCAACCCGTACTTTACTTTCATGGTGTTGATTCACGATTGGGTGTAATGGCAGCTGTTTGTTCCGCTTTCACCTGGTTAAATATAATCTTGTCTAACACATAAAAATTTACGATTCCTTTGAAATACAGTTAGTGCATGCTTGGTGACACTCATTGGGGGCTCAGTCTGTCTGGAGGAAGTGATAAAGAATAATTAATATTTAAAAGTGCAGCCCATTTGCCTTCACTTAGAAAGCTTGGCACCCTGATATCCATTAACAGATATTAATGATCAGTAACAGATTTTGTGACGCAACATTAAATAGATTGAATCAGCAGCCCGATGAGTTGTTTTTATGTTAATTTCCCTAGCAAGCTCAGATTGGCAGTGGAGTGGGAATAATGTACCATTAATTCAATAAGAAGCCCTCTACTTTATCCAGCATTAAACTGAGTTTGATAAGTCTGTCAATTTATATTTAAGTATCTAATTTTTTTTTTTTTAAACCAGCAAAATCAGTTTGTTTCATCTCTTAAATATCCGTGCATACAATCAATAGCATGTTACTTCTATTACGTTTACACTAAATAAAGCCTTTATTTATTTATTGTTAGCTGATGACTAAGTGCATGCGCCTGTAAATTTAATGCGAACTGCTGTCACTTCTGGAAACCTTGACTTGCGGGAAGGAAGCTGTAGAGCTTTAATGCCCTCAGTTATGTCTTACAGGACGTTTATATAGCTTCTTCACTAAAATACTGGCAGTTTCCCAAATCAGAGGCTGCTGAGGTCATGGATCTTTAGAGAATATCACCCTCCTCACCAAATTATCATCTTAATTACAGCCAAAAACCCATTATTAGCCCATAAAGTGTTAATACCACAGACATATTGGGATGACTTCCAGTTTACAGCATGATTTGTGACATTTCACAGCATGGATCTGATGAACACTTTAACAAATAACTGGAAGCCAAATTAACTTGGTAATTGGTAATTATAGTGATGTTTATATATTTCTGATAGGATTAGTTTTATGTCTATGAATAGCTGTATACAGGTTTACAAAATTTTAAGTTATTTTGAGCATGCATAGTATTTTGCACATCACCTGAAGCTGATTCAGGTGATGTGCAAAATCCTGGCAAAAAATCCTGGCAAAGATCTCTTGAGATCTCTCAGCTCTCATCAGACAGACATGTCTGATGAAAGGCACTGTTTTTGCATTTTGGGGCTTGAATTTTTCTTTAAAATTCACCCAAATTAGGAGGACAAGGCTATATTTCTGTGTTTACTTTTCATTAACCAAAGACAAGAGCTTTAGGAAATTCGAAACAAGCTTTCCGACACCTATAATAATGTTATTTGTTTGCATTTGCAATATTATTAGTATTTAGTGCCTCATTATACATTCACCTAGAGCTGGGCGATAGAACGATAACGATATGTATTGCGAAATAACTTTTTCTCGATAGAAAAGTTAAACTATTGCGATAGGCCTCATCTCTCTTGTCCTCTTAAAAAAAAGAAAAAGAAGAACAGCCAATCCAAATTAACTAGCGCAGAGCCGAACCAATCACAGCCGCAGCGTCACGTCACGTGACTTGTTACGTACAGCACAAGTGCCAAGCCGCACATGTGTATTTGTTTGGGAAGCAGCCAGCCGCTGTGCCGCCCAGGTAATAGAGGAAATGTGTGCCGACTAGAGAAAAATCAACGGAGAGTGTGACCGAAGGTTACCGAAGAGAAAACCGAGATTGTCGAATGGAAGAGCCATAGAAGTTCTGTAGTGTGAAGGTATTTCGGCTATTTCAAGTCTGACAAAAAACAGAGTAGCGCACTGTAAATTGTGCCGAAAGCAAGTCTGGAAATACAATAAATCGCTTTCTGACTGGAAGCGCTAATTCGACATTCGGCTTTTGTCAGACTAAAGTAACTGTTAAAACTGTTTGAAAAGCTAAGCTATACAACAAGGAGAGATTGAGAATTTCCTTTTAGTTCTCAGTTTATTTGATATTGACAAAAGTTAGTCAATTCTGTTCTTCTGTAAAACAAACTAAGATTTAGTTTTAGAATTAATATTTTGTTTCTAAGTGGAATTGACATTTTGGTAGTCTGTTTTGTTTGTTCTATTTTGAAACTTAAACGCTTTAGCGGCTGCCTTTTGTGTAGTTTGCAATATTTGTCTTTATTTATCTGAAAAAGTCTCATGTTCCTTAAGTACATCTACCCTGTTGAACTTATTATGGGAAATAAATATTTAAATCAAAACAAGCTGCTGATTATTTCACATTTTACTTGTGAGCAACGGCACATTTAAATCTTACAAATATAGTTATTTGGCTTATATCGTGATATATATGTTATCGCCTGAAATGAAAAAAACATATCATGATATGAAAAAATCTTATATCGCCCAGCTCTACATTCACCCAGACTCAAGGTTTTTATTTGCATTAAATTTTAATATTGTTAGCATTACCCAACCTTACCGAACACCGAAACTTCGTCGTTTGTGAGTTGTAACTCTGTCCTGAACCTGAATAAATATTTTAGTGGACCTTTAGTACTGTCGTTGAAAGCAGTCACCCCCGCCGCAACCTCAGGTCTGTAAGACAGCGCCGAGGGTTTCAATCTCCCACTGAGGAAAAGGAAAACGAAGTTAACGTTAGTAGCTTGTAGCCTAGCTATGAAACATTAAAACAGCCTAGCCTAGCTTGCGAATATTTTGTGCAGACAGTTAAATGGCTGAGTAGCTAGTTTACTAGAGCTGTTTAAAACACTCGGATCAAATGGTGAGCACCCTGTGTATCATTACGTGACGACTTTACTCGTTTCGCTGAATTATTTACGCTGTAGCATGTTGCTAAGATAGGGGCTAACTCGCTAGCTTAGCTACATTATACAGCTAACTTGTTAGCTGGCGCCTGTGTGCATCTGTCATATAATTTGTCCAGTGAGTGGGTTTAAAGTCTGGGCTATCTGTTAAATCGCTTGTGTTGTGCGTGTTTTATTGCATATTTAGCATTAGCGCTGGAGATGTTGCCCACGTTTAGCTTGCTGGCTAAAGCTAGCGTTGATATATGACGCGTCTCATTTGCTAAATAGTTACTCGTCAGTTTCTAAAACAGCTTTTTTCTCTTTTTTTTAGTTTTTTTATTTTAACAGTTCTTTAAGCACATGCTAAGTCACAGCTGCGTCTTTCTGTAGGTTTGTGAGACTGTACGGCCATGGGTGACATGAAGACCCCAGATTTTGATGATCTCCTGGCAGCTTTTGACATCCCAGATGCCACTGGATTGGATGCCAAAGAGCCCATCCAGGGAAGTCATGAGGAAGCAGAAAGTCAGCTGAAACACACAGAGATGTGTCTGGATGACAGCTTACTGACTAACCAAGCTATACCACCCTCAGATGTCCCAGCTGTAAGTGTTATTGTGAAAAATACTAGTCGGCAGGAGTTACTTGAAGAATTTGGTGATAGACTTCACTCGGGACCAACATTGCAAAATGGATTTGGGGGACAAGACACTTCTGTGACCTCTGCTGAGACAACTAATACCAGCTTCTCCAAATCATTTGTGTCCACATTGAATGGGAGGGCTTCAAGTGAGCTTTCTGGAAAGCCACCTATACCCGATGAGGCACCATTGTTTCCTCAGGCACTTTCAGATTTAAGTCCAGTCTCCAGTCCTGAGCATGAAAACACCCAGTCAAGCAGAGAGGAAATAGTTCCAAACGAAGACAGACTATGTTTCCCAGAAGCTTCAGTTTTGGACACTTCAGTCTGTCACAATCCCAAAAGAATGGACCTTAGCATGTTTGATAACTCTTCCAAGGACTCTAATAATTACGAAAGCATACAGAGGATTAAAGGAGCAGAAAGTAGTAGAAGCGAGGAGCTTTCTGACATCTGTGGTAGTAGTGAAGCAGAGAAAACACCTGGACTACACAGTGAATTTCCTCCACAATTAGGAAACCAGAACTTCACTGAAACCAACTGCAATTCAGGAGCACCACCAGTTATTGTCCCTTATCCACATGTCAAGTCACAGACATGTAAATTATCCTCTTGTCTTGATGCTCTGGTGGCTCTGAATGCTAGAAAAGATCCCAATGAGCAGACAGATCACAGAGAATCCCCAGCTGTTCAAAGTGACTGCATGAAAGCTAGCCCCAAGGTCCCCATATCCCCACGAAGCCCCAGAAGTCCACTTGAAGCAGTAAAACGATTAAGGAAACCACCTGATAGCCCTGTGAGTATCTGCAGTGACAGTAGTGGCAAAGCATCCCCTGCAGTGGTATCTGGTTCACCTCCAGCCATACCTAAGGTCAGGATTAAGACCATTAAAACCACATCTGGGCAGATCAAGCGTACCGTCACCAGTGTGCTCCCAGATTCAGAAAATGACGAAGTGCATTCTGCCTACGAATCCTCTCCATCGCAGAGTATGATTAGTGATGATTCATACTGTAATGCATCTCCACATCAGTCTCAAGCTCCTGATGGTGTTGTTGGGGTGCCAAGTAAAGGTAATACAGCCAATACAGTTTCGGCAAAAGTTTCAAACAGGAAGTTGGAGGAAAACTCCCAGAGGTCGGGTGTAATGCGCTCTGCACCAGTAGTCCGTAATACTAAAGTCAAAAGATCTGCCGCACATCAAGTGCACAAACCAAAGAGAGTATCAGCCACTACAGGCCATGCAACTACCACAAACTTCCTTCCAAAAGCAATGCACTTAGCTAGTCTAAACCTTGTCCCTCACAGCGTTGCTGCTTCAGTAGCTGCACGAACCACCTCCTATCAACAAAGTCAACGCACACTCTCCTCCACAGTGTACAGTACTGTCCCATTAGTGCATCAGGTCAAAACAGCCAATTCTTATCCCCGCATGTCTAATCCCAACCCATCTGCAGGAACTTTAAACAGACTGTTGAACAGTGCCAACCCTGTGCCTACATATGTGCCAAACTTGAACCCACCTCCGGGAACCAATATCAACCTTCCACCACATGGATACTGCTGCCTCGAGTGTGGGGACTCCTTTGGGGTGGAGAAGAGCCTCGCATTTCATTACAGTAGGAGGAGTGTCCACATTGAAGTAGGATGTACACACTGCGCAAAGACTTTGGTGTTTTTTAACAAGTGTGCCTTGTTGGCTCATGCAAGGGAACACAAGAACGGTGGCACAGTGATGCAGTGCACACAGCTCAATTTGAAGCCCATAGCAGAAGAAAAAATGTTTGTACCCCTGAGTAGTGAACTGGTTAGTGTGGGCACTTACTCCTCGCCATTAGTCTTGCCTAAAAGTGAGCCTGTCCTGCCCTTGTATCCGGAAAGCGTCATCCGCCATCGACTCCGTTGTTTGGAGTGTAACAAGCAGTTGCCTGACTACAAAGCACTCGCAGGCCATTACCAGAAGCTGTCAGAAGATACAGAAGAACTGGTGAGTAGCTGATTGACATATTCAAGTATAAGGGTGACAACAAATCACTTGAGAAGACCACCTTGCAGAATTTAGCAAGTATCTAAGTCTATTAGTGCTTACTCTTAAATGTTTTTAATCTGAAAAAGTCACTCAAATCAAAGTAGAAAAGTGCGCTTCAGGGCATAGATTTATCATAATGAAGCAACACGATGCCTGGTGCCACTTTGTAGATAATTTATCTGATCTGTTTCTGATTGATTACTGAGGTACAGATGAGTAAGCTTATTCTAACTATAGAGAGAATACTGCTTTGTTTAATTACTTACTTCATTGTAGCTGTTAATTGGATTGTTTTCTATAAAAACAAATGTATTTTCTCTATCACCAGATTTGTCCTTTTTAATGGCACCACTGTTTGTTTGTTTTCCACTCAAAACTGTCTTTTTGTTCTGTTCTGTTGTGAAATACCAGATCTGTAAAGTTTGCTCAATGCTGCTGCCCAACAAGTGCAGCTTCAGAGCTCACCTACGCATTCATGCACATAAGTCCCCTTACTGCTGCCCTGAGTGTGGTGCCCTGTGTCGTTCTGCAGACATCCAAAAGCACGTCAGGGAAAACTGCCTGCACTATGCTCGCAAGGCTTGGTACAAGTGAGTAACTTGGCAAGAAATGCAGGGTTTTTTTTAAACCGCCCCCACAGTGTACAGTGCACTGTTGCAACAATTATGTTTTCCTTTTCTTCCAGATGTCTTCACTGTGATATGGTTTTCCGGACCCTTCAAGGACAAAAGACTCACATCGAAGAAAAACACTGTGAGGTCTTGTACAAGTGCTCCATCTGCCCGGTTGCATTCAAGACATCCGACAGCTGTGAACTGCATTTGAAAAATAAACACAGTACTAGCAAAACAACTCCAGAGTAAGTTAACATCTCATGACCTGATGGTTGAAAACTGTGGGCTTTTCCTCATAGGCTGCTTTAACAGTTTTTGCTTTCTTTTTGCAGGTTAATCTTAAAGTGTTCCTGTGAGAAAATGTTCAAGAAAAAGCAGCTACTGTTTCAGCATTTCTATCAGAATTCCAGCAAGCGTGTTACGTCTGTATTCAAGTGTCCAGAATGCAACTCAGTCTTTCCACAAAAGCTGCTATTAATGCAGCATTTCAAGGTTAGAATTAAATATATGCATTTTATTTAGATGCTTTACATGTTTATCATTTTTACCTCTCAGACATAAAAGGTGGTCGGTCAGCACTGGTGAGGTGTAGCACTGATGGTTGTCAGTATTTTTTAATATATTCCCTGCAAGTGATCCTTTAGGAGTTTAGGATGCCTATAGGAGTTTATATGTGCGGCCACACTTCTTATCTAAAATGATTTGTGCTAAAGTTGTCAGGAAAAAAGGTTCCTTAGTCCATAGAAGAGTTATAAAGTGCATCCAGTAAAAGTAAGGTGCTGTGTCCTATTGTGTTGACTTTTTTTTTTTTTTTTTAACCTTTAAAACCATACACCTGATACAGATCAATCAACACGGGAAATCATTAACTTATGCTCCAGAAGTAGTGTTCTTTTGTTAAAACACCAGCAAAGAAACAGTTAAATGTTACTGTGTAAATAAGTTTGAGGATGATAATGTGAATTTTGTGTTTCCTGTTCTGCAGGGTGTGCATGTAGGAAACACGAGTGAAGAGACAGAGAAGAAGAAAGAAACTAAGCATGCTGACTTGCACCAGGAGTCTCAGTCTATCCAAAAACAGAAGAGTCACTACCCTGTTAAACAGACAGTTGCTACTAGAGAGAAGTCTGAGCAAGACGGCAAAATCCTAAATCGTGTGAAACCCGCTGGATGGACATGTAACGAGTGCCTGCAGCAGTTCACTGAGCGAGATGCCTACGTTTCCCATTTGAAGACCACACACGGAAAGGTAAGGGTGCACTGACCCCGCACTGACGTCTGCTGATGCAAAACATTACTGAGTGTTGCGCTCTTATGTCTTGAGTTGGTGTCTTAAAATCTTGACAGATATACCGACAGTGTGCCACAGAAGACCGCTCAGACAGCAACATCAGTAAATCATGTAAAGCCTTGTCTGGGTTCCTGTATTAAGACTGTGGTACCTGGGTTATGATCCCTTGAATTTGCATTTTTCCATATAAACACAATTATTTTTATTTTTTTAAGAATGTAAAATTTGTGTTTTGAATTGAAACTGGGTCATATTGTAGAATATACAGTATTACTCTGGAGCAGCTTGCCAATTACCACCACCCTCCTCTTTTTTTCCCACGCCCTCTGCTTTCTCCAGGATACACAGTGAGTTTTTAGACTCAGTGGGCCTCAGTTCACACTGAGTAGAAATCTTCTTACCCTGCTCCCAAATGAGTACAAATGCAAAATTACTCCCCATACACACTGCTCTGTTTTGTTTATTTTCTTTTTACTATACTGCTTTACATATTTTACCATACTGTTATGCATATTACTATGCAACATGTTTAGCTCGAGATGGAACATGGAGAAAGCTGCATCACTACACCAAAATAGCACAGAATTTCCAGCTCAAGAAACTGAAACAATAACGTTCTCAAAGCAAACACTTTTTCCTAGTTTGTTTTGTTAGAATGAAATACAGAATAAAATAAAAAATATAGAAGATAAAAATAACAGAAGTGATGAGTCCCCTGTGCTGTAAACTGTGACTCAAGTTAAATAAATAAAAAAATAGAAGGGGTGGGTGAGGGGTGATATCAAAATCATGGAAAAAACAAACGTAATAAATAGGGAACCAGTTGGATGACAAAGAT